TATTCCGTTACGTAGTGTTGTAGGGGAATCGGAGGTGCCTAACATCAGAGAATACTTCAGATTTTCTATCTAATTTAGAAAAAGTCTTTCCATTGGAACATGCACGGCTAAGGATTTCAGACTTCTTCTTCTTTGGCATTGAGACGCCTGTAGTATCTCTCGGAAACCGCTGGAATATTCTAGGCATTATTTATATTGACGGAATAAGTTTGATTCTTACATAGCGAAGGAATTTTCTTACTCTTCGCTTGTGTCATTCCTTGTGGCTGTAACTGTCGCCACAATCCGAAGCACAAAAATGAGCACAAAATCATGTTGTAATTTGGGAAGATTGTTTCCATGCCTTGGCCACAAACCGTGGAGAGCTGGAAGCATACCGCTCAGCAATGCTCTTTTCAACAGGTTCCTTCCGCAGGTGCTTCGAGTGGCCATTGGCCAGAGAGAGAGTGCTCGCCATTCTGGGCCATTCTAGACTTGCATATGGGGCTTGAGATGAATCCATCATGGGGCTTATGATTGGCAGCACCGAAATCATGGAAAATCAGCTTCCCATCCAGGAATCAGTTTGCCATCCACTCTAGCAGGGCTTTCGGAATGGTAATACCGCTGCGATCGCAAGCTCGCTTGAACCTGGGAATGGCAGGGATTTGGGGTTCAGGGCTTCAGGAGTCAGGGTTCAGAGGTTTAGGGTTTAGGGTTCGGGAGTTTAGGGTCAAGGCTTCAGGGGTTTGGGGTGTAGGGTTCCGGGGTTTTAGGGTTTAGAGTTTAGGGTTTAGGGGTTTTAGGGGTTGGGGTTTAAGCATTTTAGCGTTTAGATTTTAGGGTTTAGGGATTTTAGGGTTTAGAGTTTAGGTTGTAGGGATTAGAAAGTTTAGGGCAGGGGTTTAGGATATCGGGGTTTAGGCTAGGGCTCAGGCTGTCAGGTTTGGGGATTTCAGGGCTTAGAGTTTACGCTTTAAGGATTTTAGGGATTAGGTTTTATTTCGGGACTTAAGAATTTAGGGCTCAGGGCTCAGAGCTCAGGAGATTTCAGGTGTGGGCTTTAGGATTTAAGGTTTAAGGCGTAGGGTTTAAGGGCTTTAGGGATTTGATTTTAAGGTTTGCGGATTTTAGGGTTTCGATTTTAGGATTTAAGGATTTTAGTCAGTGTTTAGCGGGTTTCAAATTTACGACGTAGGCTGTAGGGCTTAGGGTTCTTGCAGTAGGATGAAAGCCATCTGGGTTATGGGGCTATATGGGCAAGGTTTCTGAGCCATGGGTTTCAGGTTCTGTCTGGGCGGTGGGGCTTAAGTAACCCAGTTGACACACCCTTTCCTAAATGTCTCGGAGCCTTTTTTCCGACGCTTTGCCATCGGATTCCTTACAAAACCTGGGCCGGGGGCTAGGAAAAAACTGGCATTGCCCACTTGGAGCCTCAGTGCTAGTGCCTAAACCCTGACAGACTCCCTTAGCTCTATTAGTTAAACCCGAAACATCTTGTATAACATCCCGACCCGCCCCGAAATCAAATGCCGAAGTGTTTGTGGCAAAAGACTCGCGCAGCGACGCCCCCTTCTCACGTCCGGATTTGGATGGAAACTTGTGCAAGATCAGGCTCACGGCGTGGACGCATGAGCCTGAAGATGCAACTGAGCAGCTTCAAGCACCAAACATGAGATTCAAAAAATTTGGCCAAGCCGCAATACGTCTTGATGGCCCCGGCTTTCTGCTCCAAATCCCTCACCTTGAGGAGGCGATCCTGGCCTAAGGTGCACAATGGCTGCCACTTTTGCACAGACCCTCCAAGCATCTTTGCCACATTGGCAAAATCGTCCGTGTAGCTGGAGATCGTGGAGTGAACCTTCTTGTTGAAAAACGTCATCTTCACCTGCTGCACGTTACGCTGCGCAGGCTCGAAGAGGTTGTCATACTGCGGGGGAATGGCGTCATGCGCCTCCGTCACCTTTGGCATCATCAGCTCAAGCCCTTCAAACAACAGCTTAATCATGACGTCGGTGCACCACTTCTTGGCCAGAGCAATCATGTCCGCAGGGACGCCCTCAATCTTGAGCATCTCACTGATGGAGTCAAAAGTGGCATCAGCATCTTTCAACAAACGCACCAATCCTTCAGCTTGCTTGTTGGCAGGGCAATGCAGATCCAAGGATTCCCAGCGCTGCATGAAAGTAGAGCCCTTTCGCATACACTCGCTAATGACGAAGTCCTTCTTGAGCTCAGACAAGTCAGCACTTAAGGATAGGGCCTCCGCAATGGGGGGGATCGCAGCCCACAACTCGTTGGAGGCTACCCCAAGTAGGCAAATCTGTTGCCAATTCGCACTCTCGGGCAAGAAGGTCGATATGTTCTTGCAGGCATCCTGGGACTGGACCAGCGAGGCCTTGAACTGTGACTTGAGGATATCCCACAGCTTGGGAAACCCAGTGTTCTTCAGGTAGCCCAAAGCTTTGAAGAAGAGGTTGGCGTCCGGCAGACCAGCTTGGTTGATCAACAGGGGCGTTTGCGGGCTTACGCTGAAGGCAATTTCAGAGAATCTTGCCAAGCACTGGCAAATCTGCGGAGTGCCGAAGGCAGTTGGGCTTTCCGTGCAACCAAAACCTTCCAGCCAGTCCTCCAACGTCTGAGTGGAAGTGGCCCCGGTGTTCAGGAGCAGCTCAAAGAACAGCTCCGCCAGGCTTGCCTGGCAAACAGAAAAAATGGACAGTGTAGTCCCATCGCATCCTTCTATCATCTAAGCTCTCAAAATTTGCCTTTTCTCAACCCGGACTTGAGCCTTAAAACTCAAACTCAAACCGATAAACCCTAAACTGAAATCCTAAACCCTAAACCCTAAAAGCCTAGACCCTAAGCCTAAACCCTAAACTCTAAGCCTGAGCCCTATACTCAATAGCAATCTTGCAAGCCAAGAGGCAAACTCTTCGAGGCGAACAAGGTGCCGCTTGCTCTCCACAAAGCCACCCGGAAGGCTGGCATCGCCAATGAACATCAAACAGTCAAACGCATCTGACTCGGTGCTTGTGAAGATGTTGGCCACCATCTTCAACCTCGTCTGGCCCCATCGCCAGGTAGCGCTGTCCAAGCACAGTTTCTCATCCGGCTTCCTCAGTTTCGTCCAATTTTGCATGACCCCTAACTTTTGATGCCAATGACTGCTCAGGGTTATGTTGACAGCCCAAGTGCAAGCAAGTCAATGCATTCTCCAAGAAGGCCACCGTTTGCTTGACACATGCCTCCAGCAATGGGGTGAGCAAATCCCCGCATCTCTTCTGGGCAGAGGTCTTCGCGGACTCCGGCAATCCCCGGCTCTTGCAGACAGACGCAAAGGTCGAGCACGCCTCTTGAAGTTTGAAGATCTTGGCCGGCAGATCCTCATCCTCCTGTCCTGAGCAGTACTTCTCGAAGGATGTGCTCATCAGATCGAATTGCTTCTCGCAATCTGCCAGGGCCAGGGTCGCATCCCTCTTGACCTGAAGCTCGCGATTGGAGCTTTCTGCCTTTTCTAACAGCACCTTGCCCATGGCTGTGGCATCAAAGACGCGGTAGATCTCATCCGAAGAGTTCACCGTCAGCGCGTGCATGGCCTCATCCAAGGTGTCCTTTCCTTCATTAAAAGGTGGGATGAAGGTAGGTGGGTTAAGGGATACTTCGTATATACTTTACCATAATTATTGGGGCTTATTATTCCTATTAACCTATACCGCCTATACCCCACCTTCCTTCATCCTACCTTTTGAGCCTTTTGATTCCTGGGCCCGGTTCGCCCAAACAAAGGGACGTGATATGCTGACACTTCTCTTTCAGATCCGCAGACAAGTGCTCCCCAACGGTCCGAAGGCACGTGCTCAAACTCTCCGTTGCAGACTGTGCCCACGCTGCCATGCTGATGTCCTTGGGGATGCGGTCGGGATCGAACTGGTCGAGGATGCTTGCAATGCATTTCTCCACGATCTTGACTACGAACTCCTCACGCTCGTCCTGCAATTGTCACCAGCCCCGATCCCCAGAAAAGAATCAGGAACCGCAATGAAGGCCCAGATCTGCATACACCAAAGTATATAAGGCTTAGAGAATACTTAAAAGGGTAAACGGAGTAAAGGTACCCATGCTGATCCTGTTCGATGATGTGACTTTTCTTTCAGAACACGAAAAACAACGCTCCACGATTGAGAAACCCCTTCCTCCCCCAGGACCCTTTCCAAGGTGCTTGGCTGCAACATCTTGGCCACTTGATCCCAGGCACGGCCTTCAATATGCGCAACTGCCCTTGCTTGCGCATAGGAAGTCAGGATGCCTTTCGGAAAGCACGCGATGGCCTTGTTTGCATCAAAAATTCGGGGACTGAAACCGCGCACAGAAAACCGTAGGCTAACCAGAACTGCAATTAGGAATGCCCCTCGGCGGCTCTCGGCTTAAGAATCAACATTGTAGAATTGTAGAAGCCTGCAGACATTCGGAAATCTCCGACAAATGACGTTACTCCCACCACCACCCCCGCGGACCCCCTCTTTGAGTAAGTTCCCCAGTGACCGCCTCTGGTTCCCCACCACCCCAAAACTAACTTGAACCCTCCAAAACTAGCCCCAAATCTCTTTGAATAAGTTCCCCAGTGACCGCCTCTGGTTTTGAACCCAAAAAGGGGGGAGAGTAAGCAATCCACCCCCTTTTCCCAGGTGATTTTGTTTGGCATTTCGCCTAGTTTCCCAGAAACAGCAAAATGCCACCCCACCCCTCCCCCCATGCCCCCACAAATTTCAAAGATAAGGGCCGAGAAGAATTAGCCGTTTTACAGTCATAGAGCTACATCATTCCACGCCAACCGTACCGCCATTGGCAAACATACTTGCCACTCCACGTCATCACATCAACTAGACTAGCTACAACGACTCCAGGGCCATGCCCTACAGCAAGCTTTGAGACTTTAATTATTACTGTGGACAACAGGACCTGGAAAGCCATAACACCACTCACTGAAAGTAACAACCATGAATTACATGAATTACATGTTACATGTCCAATTGGCCTGGCCGGGCAACTGTTGGGAAGCTGCCTTCCAAATTCTCCATGGCGTCGAGGAACTCCTTGTTCATCTTCGCCTTGATAGCACTTGACCCAGCCAGCCAGGCCTTGCTAGCCTTGGAAGCCACCCGCAAAAGCTCAAGGTTGCTGGCAAGTTTCTTCATGCCGTCTGCGTGGTCGAAGATGTGCTGGTCCGAGCACTCACGCTGGCGCTTCTGGATAGCTCTGTCCAGCTTCCCCAGCTCGAGCCCGAATGTTTTGCCTTCCAGCATGGATGGCAGCTGCTGCTTGATCAAGCTATCCATCTGCTCCTGGAAGCAAGGAGTTGAGGATAAGGCTCTAACACTAGCGGCAGCGGTGCCTACTGGCTCAACGCACTTAGCTCTTAGCTGCAAAAACCATTTGGGTCCTCCAACTTCCGGAACTCCTCAGCGGCAATCTGGGTCTGCGTGCGCTTGCGCTTGGCCTTGGACTTGGCGACCTGATTGCTCGCAGCCCCATGCGTCGGCGAGCCAAGACCCAAAGCAATCAACTCATCCTCGTCTATCTCCATTTCTGGAACAGAACCAGCACCATTACCTGAGGCCGAGGAAGGAGCAGCCTCAACTGAAGGCGCCGCAGGTGTGCTTACCGGAACACTGACCTTCACAAACGGAATCTTGTCCACATCATGTCCCTTCAGCATGAACCCCGTTCGCGAGTTGAATCTCTTGGCCGGCTGGTCGGGCGACAACCTGGAGCTTGCGATCTTTACCCTTACTAATATCTTGTTGAAATCCGAAGCTTAGGATTTGGTGCTACTGCTACTGCTTAAACCACTCCTTCGGAAATTTGCGGACGGATGGTTCGGCTTGGATGTCTACATTCTTGGCTACTGCGTTACCTCACTGGCAGTTCCAACTGCGCCACGTGGTCAATTGAGCCCACCCAGATTACACGCTACAGGCACCGTTGTAGGCAGGCATGATTGGAAGAAATCGAGGAAGCGCGCAATTCCACAAAGAACTGGACGGCGCCACTACTACGTTACAAATTTACAAAATTAAAACGATTACAAAATCTCTGAGCGCTAACAAGTAACTTCACCATGCCGCTGTCCAACGTTCTTCTCTCCAAGACTCGTTGCACGACCTCCACGTCCATTGTCCACACGTCCTTCGGCCCTTTGAAGACCTGGCGGCAAATATTTCCGGCTACTGGCCCCCAATGGCCCAGCGTGCCAACTTTTGCCAAGCTCATCGAATGACATTTCCTGGATTTAAATTATTCAAATTATGTAAATTATTTAAATTATTTGAATTATGTAAATAATTCAAATAATTCAAGTGGAGGCCTGGATTTTCCGCAGAATATGTGTCACTGTAGCTTTGCTAACAC